CCTGGCTCCGTCTTTCAGTGTCGTTGTGTCCTTGGGCAAGACACTTCAGCTGCATTGTCTACTGATGGTGGTCAGAGGGCCCGGTGGCACCAGTGTACGGCAGCCCCGCTTCTGTCAGTGAGCCCCAGGGCAGCTGTTGCTACAATGTAGCTTGCCGCCATTCGTGTGTGTGTGCGTGAATGGGTGAATGACTGAATGTAGTGTAAAGTGCTTTGGTCAAGTCTCCTGACTTGAAAAAGCCCTATATAAGTACAGGCCATTTACAACACAGTTTAAATAGCCTAAACTTAATAGCCATACACTTGAAACAGGGAGGCAAGAGGTTCAGACAGTTTTTGTGATCTGTGACTGTACAGTGACAAACCTCCACCTTTAATCTTCTATGCAGCTTTAGTACAGACATTCCAGAACAAATTGTGGCCCACCAGCTCCTCTGCAGGATCTGGAATGTTTGTTTTTCCAAATAAGCCTCTTTACGTAGCTTGCCCCGTAAATGTCCATCTTATGTGAGGCAAGCCTTGGTTGAAACTCGTAGACTTTTTTTGGTCAATGACCTCATACAGGAAGAGACCGAGCAGGCCTTTGTATGAATAAGCCTTTAGCCTGGTGTGCAACCCACTGTACATATTCCTCTGCTGTTTATATTCTCTCTTCAGTCTCTTCATAGCCAAAGAAAGGGGATCTTCAGAACATTTGCAGTTTAAGGGGAATGAAATATAGTTTTGGGGGTCCATTAAGACCAGGTTCTCTCCATAGCTCTATCACTCCAGCTCTACTGTACTGCATGAATGCTCAAATGGGTAAGGATGCAAATACAGAGAAGAACATAAAGAGCCGAGGGGTGCTGCATATGTTTAGCCACCACATTGTTTACCTCTACCCTTTAGATATTAAAGTTTTTACAGTATTATAAATCAAATCACAAAAAGGATCATTGTATTTTCATGGAGAAGATTAAACAAATGCCATTGATGTTAGACAAACTCATTTATCTGTATTCTGATAACTGAGTCTTAAGGTAATTCTGCGTATTTCACTTCAACAAATTCCATATGACTTCTAAACTTTTACCCTCACGTCTTTTCTACGTGGTCAGATGGATTAAAAGACAAACTGGAACATTATTCATTTTATGTCATGCCTCGTCATGCACAATAGAGGCAAGGCAGAAATGCTAAGTTGGGACAGATTTATTAATGATTCGAGTAAGAAGTCAGCCACCATGAAAAAGACAGTTGTTATGTTGGTATAATCTCTTTCCCTTTTTTGATGTGCAATACAAGACTTCCATCTACTTAAGAATATCCAGAATTTACTTATTTTTCTAAACCAGCCACCTTTGTGTCCTATAGCATCTATCAGAGAAAACCTGGCAGTGCTCCTGTATATCCAAGGTGTTGGTAAATGTCACAGTGGGGAGCTAATCCAGCATGGTAAATGCCATCTACGCCTTGCCACTCAACCATCAGCAGCCCAGAACAGTTGATTGATGCAAAGAACAAAACCACTTTCCATTGACTGACAGACTGCAGCACATAGTCTGCAGAGATTGTGGTCACATCGGTCAGTGAACAAAACAACATGTTGGTACCTTTTGTATTTGAAAGAAATGTGTGGTTAACACATCAGCCCTCAACAGGCTAAGTGACATGGGTAGGTGTGAGGGGTGGAGGAAGAGAGTCATGTGTGACTCTATAAAGGGTAGTTTTAAGAACAAAGGAAAAATGTGTGGTTTTTTTAAGGCACATGGTTTGTGGATGCAGCGTGAGCAGAAATACTGGATGGTCCTCCAGTGTTTGTCTGAGACACACATTGATTAAGCAGAATCTGAAGCACATAGTAACATGCTGTGGAGGCTGCACAACATCCTTTATTGTATTTAAAACACTGAATCTAAATTTACAGTCTGCAGGAGGATCAAATACTAGAGTTCGTCCAAATAATTCTTCCACACACATCTTACCCTTAGAACTCAAGTGAAAACTGCAAGTCACACAAGTAATCAACATTCTGTGTGAAATTTGCAGGATTTCTCCAATTCGCTCTGTCTGTCTGTCTGTCTAACTATCAAATGGGATTAAGTATAGCACTCTTCTAATCACAGCCACCTTTCAAAGTGCTTTCTACTGTAGCCACATTCATCACACTCACTAACCTGCAAACATTCATACAGTAAACAAGTGTATGCAGATCGGTAGGCAGCTTGGGTTTAGCTACCTTACCATGGAGCACATGGGCATGTGACTAGGGAAAGCTGTAATCAAACCAATAATCTTCATTTTTTTATTTTGTACAAAAAAATGAAGAAAAGAATGTGAGAAGATTACAAATATACACCTTTTTGTACAAAAACAATTTTTATATATCTACTTGGTTATCAGCTTCATGTAATAGGAGATGGTTTTGATAGGGTATGTTTTCAAATAATCTTAGTTCATTATTTGTAACTGTCACATTTATTTTCTTTTTTACAAGTTGTTAATCTGTATTTTCATATGTCTACACTACTAATAATATTTAAAGATAGATGTAGCATGGGTGAGGGGAAATGTTTTTGACATAATTGTTAATTGTTAAGATTTTCCACTTACAGCTTCTGGAATATCAGCTGTCTATTTGAGCATTTAAGACTGCACATGATATTATTATCAACACTGGAGTCTTATCTCCCTTTTTAAATGTGTTTTATTCTAGAAACCAGTGCCCTTCACTATACTTTTTTGCACAATCCTCCTGGGTCATTGTAACCTCATCTTAGTATTTCATCCTTTGATAGAGCATCCTCAGCAGGAAAACTAGCCGGAAATGTACATGTGGTTACAGTACAACAACAGTGAATAAAGTTCAGGCTAACAGAGGTTGTATTTGGAAGCAGGGCTGGGTATTTATTCTTATTTCAAGAATCTGTACTCAAGATTAAGAATAAATTCTTTTGAACCCAATCCAACACGGTCTAAAGTATTAAAATGCATTTCTAGTATCAAAAATATTTTTTGTGAATTGCATGACTGTGTACTGTAGGCCCGGTGATGGAACAGCGATCTGTCCAGGGTGTACCCTGCCTTTCGGCCATAGACTGTTGGAGAAAGGCACCAGTTCCACCTTGATGGATAAGCGGGAGATGATAAATGGACACATAATGACCTTGCAGTTGTTTAACACAATGATATTGGTATCATATAAATATTTAACAACAAATTAATAAAGCAATGTAAGTTAATAGCCACTGTGAGGACAATGAAAAATGCATTTTGCTACAGTATGTATCTCTTGTTAATGAATTGGTCCTAAGGAATCAATATGAGAATAAATTCAATCTTTTAACACAGCCGTGGAGAAAAGAGCTCTATATAGATTCAGGCATTTAAAGAAAATGAACCAGGAAATACTGGATGGGTTGCTATTGATTTGACTTAATATGTTATGCAAACGTTTTAAATATAAGATGTTACAAAAACATAAACCCAAATGTTTATCATTTATTCAATTGTATAAAATTAAAAACAAAATCATAAAAAGCTTAATGGAAAAACAACCGTTTTTCTTTTTATAAAATATAAAACAGCATTTCAACCAGAAATTATTAATAAAACGAATTGCTGAAGTAAATTGGTGAAATGTGAGTTATTAGTCATTAAAATGTTCAACACCACTGAAGAATATTCATTGTAAATTGAAGATTTTTACTTATTCTGCTGGTCTCCATAAAGAAAAATCATGGTCCTGTTTTTTTTTTTTTTTGCATGCATTGAATGGGTTTATGCTCCATAATGAGCCATGACCTAGTAATTACCCTCTGCTCCTGCATGACTTAATCCATGGAGTTTCTGAATAACCATCTCTCATTACGATGGACCCATATGGTACTCCAAATTTAGCTGTTTAATGTGCATGTGAAATCAGAAGTGGCTAAAACTTGGAATCAGGTACACCCCTGCTGGTAAAAAATAAAATAAAATAAAATAAAATAAAAAAGAGAGAAATAAGAAAAAAATTGCATGAGTAAAATAAGGAGTCTATTAAAAATCTAAAAAGATAAGAATTGGAGAATCGTGACCAAAAAGCAAAACCCATTATACTCAATGAATTCTCTCAGTGGCCAATACTAGCAATGACTAGAAGATGTATTATATTTCTTTGTTTCATAAAAGTTGTATGACTTGTATAACATTTTGCATTTCTTTTTTTATCTTCTGTTTCTATTAAACACCATATTTCAATGAAAGGTTGAAACATTTCTACTAAAACACTACCCATATTTAGAACACCAGGTAAACAGAAAAAGATTCAATAACCATACTTGTGCTCCCAGATTTAAATTCTGAAGCTATTGATTTTAAAAAGTCTAAGTTTCTTAAAGTTCAATTGAAATATTGGTTAAACATGAAAAAAAAAACGTGAATTTGTTTTTACAAATTTGAATAAATATTTAGGTCATAACAACTCATTGTCACCCAATAAAAAGAAGTACATAATCATAAATATGAAAAGAAATTAGTCTTTTTTAAAAACATACATTTGGCTGTAGACCTGATTACCTCCTGCACAGTAGCTTATTGCTTTATGATTACCCACTGTTCTGCTAGATCTCTATTTCACTGAAACTATAAATCATTCCTCATATCAGAATAATACAAAAAAAAACATCTGAAACACATAAAACTAGGACTATAAAGACCATGTGGCACAAGCCAGATGCTATGTTTTTAATAAGTCTGTTTCTATTATTACAAAAGCTCCGCTTTTTCTATGTTCTGAACACCATATCCTCTGAATATTAGAGGAATGTTGTGACTTTGAAACTAAAATGCCAACCTTCTACTATAAATCATAGTTTAAACAGCTATCTACAATAATTGTTTTAGTTTTTAACAGGTTTGTTGCCTTAATGCTGGGGGCATAGTAAATAAATGTCTCTCTTATTTAGGATAGACATGAACAGAACACAAGTGCGTTTTATTTATCTTTGAAAAACGGATTTTGTTTCATTACATTCTTACCTTGGCCGACACGTTCAGGTATAAGCAGTGTAGAAGTGTTGCCACAAGAGATGTTAGACGCTTCCAAGCTTCCATTGAGCGCGCCGCTCTGCATCAGGTCCTGAAGCGCTCGGACGCACTCTGAGTCCATGTATGTCTCATTCGTAAAATCGAGATCCATGCCTCTAACTTTTAACTTTTAATATGAACCGTGGTATTTTAAAGCCGTCCAATAAAAAGCTGTTCATTCACCTTCTCCCTGTATTCTGGAACATGTCCGGAGTGGTAAAATAAGGAAACTTCTGTGCCATGCTCCGACGCACCTACCCAAGGTCTGAATAAAATAATGATTAAAAAAAAGGAGAAATATGAATAAAAACTGTGATTTATTTATTTATTTTTTTCCCTGATTTCCTCCTAAAGACGCACCCTGTTTTGAGGCATTCCTAAGTCTAGGGTCTGTGTGCGCTGAGGGGAAAGAGCGCGACGTTATATGCTGAAAAGACCTGCAGGGAAAGTGAGAGAGAGAGAGAGATAAGGGGGAGGAGGGGAGCAGATGAGAATGGATTTAATGTCACAAAGTGCTTGAATGCTTGTGTATGTGCTGGACTGTATGAGAGAGAGAGAGAATTAGATCAAAATCATTCATTTTGATAGAATAAAGACGCATTTCTGGAATTATTAAAGATTGTTCTGATACATCTTTAGGATCACAAAGTGTTTTTAATATAATGAAAAATATTTATACTATACTATACCTGCCAATGTGAAAAAAATAACAGCATTTCTCGAATTAATCAAGTCATCACAGGATTGTAATACTTTTCAGAGTTGTTTCACTCTGGTATATTTATTGGTATATTAAAAAAGCTAAAAATATTTTGGATACGTTTGAAAACAAGGTCATAAAAAGGTACCTTCCCATTTCTACAATATATTTGACAATGTCCAACCTAATTTGAAATAGTTTACTCCAGCGCTTAGGAGCTCATTGGCGCCCCTATGTGGCGAGTAAGTGTAACTTTTATTAGAAGGTTCGACTGACCTTTCATGAACGCTTCCTCAAAGAAAAAAGGCCTTTAGTGGATTAATGTGAGTGTGAATGCATTATCCCGGACCAAACATATAACCGAGATTATATGTTTTATTTTTGATGATACTCCTTTCTTTTCAGCCTTCACTGATGACTGAACTGTTTAAAAATAATTTAGAGAGACAAAAAACAAATTGGTGACATGTTTGTGCATATAATCACACTGTATTTAAGATGCAGTGTGAATAAATGGTATTTATAAATGGTATTTTGAAAAGACATGTTCTCATTCTAAATACATTTTAAGTAATTTTTTGCATTTGATTTCTATAAAGATGCAAAGCTTTCCTTACCTAAGATAATGAAACAAGCTGAAATTAATGACACAGGATGGTTATTGATCTTGTTCTATAAATAAATTTAATGATATATTTTCGAGAGCTGATACTGTTTTAGGTGGAGTTTTCAAACAGCTAAAGGGAAAAGTGAAGAGAGGAAAAAATAATGTCGTGAATATCACTATTTCCACAATGTGAAGCCTTATTTACAAGGACAAGTATTGTTATTTTACATTTAGTTAAAAACATTTCTGATGTTGAATGTGAACATGATGACCAAATGGGCTTCAGCTGTTTACCAGAAGATAAACATTTACATCAACTAAAAAAGAGCTATTATTTGTTGATTCCTTTAATATTATTTTCAAGGTAAGAATGTTTTCTTAAGTATTAACATGACTTGCATGTTTGTAAAGTGGGACCTCAAAAGCACTGCAAAAAATCTAAATCTAGATAAGTCATTTTTTCTTAAAATAAGTGCATTTGTTCTTGAATTGACGTGGTAAAAGACATTTTGCCAATGGAACAAGACAATTTACAATTAAAATAAGAAAACACAATTGCATTGTCTTATTTTAAGTGCATATTATCTAATTATCTTATTTTAAGAGTAAAATTACTAATTCCATTGGCAAACTATCTAATTTACCTACTCAAATTAAGGGTGAATTAATTTAAGACATTTTTACTTAGTTCAAGATCGTTTTTGCAGTGAGGTCCCTGAGGAAGGCTCTGAAGTTCTCATTAATTCTAGTTGTCCACTATTTCCTCTTTTTCAATTGACTGATGAGACCATGTGATGTAAACATGAACACAGTAGCTTGTCAATTCTTTTTTTATTATTTTCTAATTTTATATTGTGTTACTATTTTATACACTAAAGATAACTTGGGCTGAAAAGTTTCATAAAGTTTTTTTTTTCCATACTTTTTTCCCCCCAAACATAACCTTTAGAATAAACAATACTTTTAAGCTGTATTTTTTTTTTTTTTTAAAGAGACTGGCACAAATACCACTTAGCTGTTAGCGTCGGAAAAACTTTCAAAAAGTGCTGGTGTGTTTCATCTCTTCTGAGCACTCTAGAAGAGAAGTGGTCTTTTCAGAGACTCACAAACACATGATGCAATATTCAGTCCTGGTCACACAGCAGATGATTCACTAGTCCCTTCTTCATCTGACAAAATCATCCAAAAACGTCAGCAGCATGACTGAACTGTTTTTTGTTATACTTCTGATAATCAAGATAAAGAGGCTTGGAAACAGCAATGGCTACATCAGTAAAATATTCATTCATAACATGTACATTTTGGGGAGTAATCAAGCATATTTACAACATGTTAAAATTTTGATATTTTCATCAGAACTATTCAGATGTGTTTTCATTGTCCTCATGTATCCTTTTTTATTTCTAAGAAACACAGCCAAGGCCATCTCTTTCAGGCAGAGCACATTCACTAAGTTGTTTTTTTGTACAACACATACTGCCCTTCAAGTTTAGAATAGGTTTCTACATGTAAGTGTTATTTTCACTTGTAACACAGATCAGGACATTTAAAAAATCTCCATGAGATTTTAAGCGTTTGATTTGTGGTTAAGTATTATGTTTTTTCTTTTTCTCTAATTTCCTCCCCAGTATTAACATTGCCAACTTCTTCCTTTAACCATCATCATTACCTTGATGTTTTTTTATAATACATGTTCACCAAGTAGGAATACTGAAGGCAATTGGTTGCCAAAGATCTGACTGAGAGGTACCAAACTAAACCAAGGATGAAAACAACTGCAGATCATGTCAGGTATAACCCGGTGTTCGAGACGTAGAGTAAGTTACAGTAGGTTTAACAAAATGTTTATTAGAGATGGAACTACAAGGAGAAAAGCATCAGCTTCTGAGGCAGAAACCTCTGCAGAGGGAGAACAAAGGTTAGTGACCACGTCTATCTGGTGGAGGATGATAATGTGAGTCACTAACCTGGTCTTAAAGTTCAAACTGTGCCCAGAGGACGAGGTCGGTTCTAGATGGTTGGCTGCCAACCAGACACTGTCCCAGATGCTGAAGCCCTGGAGTTTGGGGGACAGGCAGGAGATCAGAACCGAGCAGACGAAGGAACGCATAATAATCCAGAGGGTGAAGCCAAATTCGGTGTAGACGATGTGCTCAGGAATCAGAGCCAGGAGATCAAACATCCGAAGAGATACAGAAGGTAAATCCAGGACGATGTCAGAAATCAGTTCCAGGTTTGGTAAACAGGCAGAATCCAACAGGAGTCCAAGGACAGGTCAGGCAAACAGATTAGAACGGGGACAGGCAGGCTCAGAGGTCCAAAGGCAGAACGGATCAGGATCAGGGAATCAGAAACACTGAGGTACATTAGAGAACTCTAGCTAAAAGCTTGAACAATCTGGTACTGATGACTGGGGGCAAGCAGGTTAAATAGAGGCTGAGGCAGGTGGATCAGATGAACTGTAATGAGAACTGGGCAGAGCTAGGCAGGTGAATTAAATAAATAATCAGGCCAGTCGTCAGCGCCAAGATTATGACAGATCACTGTTTATTTTGTATGTAAAAAATGCCATCTACATTAGAAAAAAGTTTGAGGAGCATGAATACCTTTGCAGTTTAACTATGATAGTATTGAATTTTGACCTACATGAATAAATCATTTTTCTTCTCTCATTAAAAGGGAAAAATGTCTTCTCTGTTCTGACTGTATATTGGGAAGGTTAAAATGTCATCGATCTATAAGGTTTGAAGTTGAAGAAGGAAGCAGACATTACATACTTAGTCTCAAAACACTCGAGGGACTCCCAGAAGAGAGGAGAAGAAATAGGACCATTATTTCAAGCATGGCCTCTGTAATCTCTCTCCAGTTTTGAGTGGCTCCAGCAGGTCATGTGCAGAGCCTCTTACCCTAGATAAACAAGCCTACAAGGATTCCAATCAAGACGAGAAGAGAGAGACTAGTGCTTCCTTCTGAGTGAGGTAATCACTGGCATGGCGTGGAGCATTGATTATGGATGTTCCAGTGCTGATGAAGACTAGTTGAATATAATCACTGCCGGGGTGGTGCTTCACAGCCAATGTCTGCATCTTCAGTTGCATCAATATGTCCATACTTGGTTCCCTTTTATGTAAACACCCCTCGATTATGTTACAGATCAGATTAACAAGTGCAGCCCAGGAGGGCTCATCAATACAGGCACTCATCATCAAGGGAAGACATTAAAAACAAGCTGTTGATGGCATGGTAAATACATCAGCACTAAAATGAGCTAAAACACATTTCTTCCTTCTCTGCAGCTTAGCTTTCGGACTGTGGGAATCGATTGCTGAGACATCATTCTCGACCAGTAGAGAGCAGGGGCTGCACGATGGGAGTCGTGTGTTCCCCTCATAATGGGATATGCTCAGATCACACAGGAAAAATGGCTGAGCAATTTTTCTACAGTTGTTTCTGCTCACTCTAGGATTGAAACGGATATTTTGAGTACATTTTACTCTTTTTATGTGGGGACATTTGATCTCTAGACTAAAGATTTGGTCTGTTAAAATATATTGTACAATATAATTTCCTGCAACATTTTTCAGTATAAAGAAACACTGGGGGCCCACTGAATAAGTCTGATGCCTCCTAGGCTTCCATAGTTGGTGATGAATATTTTCTTTTATATTCACCTCAGTATAGTGCTTTTGTTGTTTTATTTTTGTATGGAAGTGCTATACATTGTAAGATCCAATTAGTTATCATTACTTTAAAAACACATTGAAACCAGTTGCACTTAGTAAAGTTGGGCTAATACAGTCAACTAGGATTTTTAGGACGTGTACATTAGTTTAAACAATTAGAATGATGAAATAGTATTTACTTAATAACTTACTTAAGATATACCTTTGTCTGATAAGTTCTAAGAATAAAAATTGTAATATTCTAAATGATAGCATGGAAAGTTTACTGTTTAGCCCATCCATCCATCCATCCATCCATCCATCCATCCATCCATCCATCCATCC